ATATTTTATTTCTTGAATAACTCTTGGATTCCCGAGGGGTTGGAGCTGGAGAATTTCAAATAGGCAGTGGGGGTTGGGAGAAGATGGGCTCTCCTGGCTCTTGAACCTTCATCCAGCCCAAGTGAGGCATCGCAACTGCTCCTGCCAAAAGTAGGCCCAGGCTCCACATGTACCCTCTGGAAGCTCAGCACCCCAAGTGAGGCATTGCAACTGTGCCTCCTACTGAGAAGCTCCCTGTTCCACACGGTCTGGACAGTGGAGGGGCGCCGGCAGAAGACACGGCCTCGGGGCCAGGGAAGTTCCATTCCTGGATGCCAGACAACCGCCCCCTTGTGGCAGGAGAGGCCAGGCTGCCAGGAAGCAGCAGGGTCTGGTGTCTTAGGAGGAAACCCACAAATTGGGAGCTACAAATGGGGAGGCATATTCAGTAGCTTGGAAAATGTATGTGTCAGCAGCCTTAATGTGCCATGAGGGTTTTCATGTACAAACACAACAGGCTGAGGGATAGGAAGAGAAAGGTGGGCCGCCCTCCATGCCTGAGGGGGAGGAGACATATGCTCACTTTGCTTTGAACATTACTCAAGGTCTACACACACTGAAACAGCCCATCATATTCAAAAGTGTCTAGTATTATGACAACAGGAAAATAAAAAAAAATATTTTAAAAAGTGGCTCTCTAAAACAGTAAATAAGCTGTTTTATAAAGGCAACTTAATAAACTTAAAAAAAAAAAATGATCCCCAAGGGCTGGGGAGATGGCTCAGTCAGTAAGGTGCTTGCTTTGTAGGCATGAGGACCCAAGTTTGATGTCCAGGATCATGTGAAAACCAGCATAATGGCATGTGCTTGCATCTCAGCTCTGGGCAGGCAGGAACAGAAGGATCCTGGAGCTGGCTGGAGCTGGCTGAGTGAATTCCAGGCCAGCGGAAGAGCCTGTCTCAAAAACAAGGTGTGGAACTAGAGGGGTGGCTCCGTAGCTAAGAGTGCCAACTGCCCTTTCAGAGTACCTGGGTTCTGTCCCCAGGCTCTCAACCATCTGTGAATCCAGTCACAGAAGATCCAGTGCCCTCTTCTGGCCTCTGCAGGCACCAGGCATGCTTGTGGCGCACAAGCAGACAACACACACACACACACACACCGTAAAAACAAACAAAAAGACAAAGTGTTCAGTCCCTGAGGCTGTCTCGTGCCTTTGCAGATATGCCCACCTCTTCTTAAACATGTACACATATACTCCAAAATGATCTCTTAGAATACGCATTTTTTTTGAGACAGAGTTTCTCTGTGGAGCCTTGGCTGGCTTGGACTCACTTTGTAGACCAGGCTGGCCTCGAACTCATAGAGATCCACCTGCCTCTGCCTCCCTGAGTGCTGGGACCCCAGGCGTTCGCCACCACGCCCAGCTTATAATGTGCATTCTAAACAGGCCTTCACTCCACTGTCCTGCACGGTGCGAGAACTTCCTTCATCCCTGACACATTTACTATTTCCGGCTGAGGGGTGTGGATGACTGCACACATTCTGTGTGTGGTTTCACTAGAAACTGTGTACTCGGAGTCTTAACCGGATTTCTCGGAGCTCCCAGCTTCCTCGGCGCTTCGTCTCCCGCAGTGCCCTGGTACATACACGGACTGTAAGGAGTTCTGGCTCATACGATTATGTCAAGTCAGGGATGGGTGGGGGAGCATCTGGCCTGCACGCACTCCACCGTCAACACCACACTGTGCAGGCTCTCTCTCGGTGCACCTGCCGTGCACCCTGAGCTGGGGCCCCAACGTGCCTATGTGGTCCCTGACAGGCCCAAACGTTGACAGGTAGTCTGGGAAGAGAAACCCAATGTGTTCAGGACTGATCTCAAGCAAGCGCTGCTAAAATAGATGTTAAATTTATAGGCTGAAATGATGCAAACGCCACTGAGACCTCAGTGGCACACTCCCCTGCAGTTTTATGCCAGGACGTGAGAGCTGTGGCGGCGGATGCCGGACATCCTATTTAATTCTCCCCTTTCTACCGTGACTACCTAACCGGTGGCAATTTTCTGTATCTTTTTACGGCGTTTACGATTTGTTTTTTTTTTGTTTGTTTGTTTTTTGTTTTTTTGTTTTTTGAGACAGGGTTTCTCTGTGTAGCCTTGGTTGTCCTGGTCTTGCTTTGTAGACCAGGCTGGCCTGGAACTCAAAGAGATCCGCCTGCCTCTGCCTCCCTGAGTGCTGGGATTACAGGCGTGCGCCACCTCGCCTCACTTTTAGTTACGTGTGGAAGTGCTGAGCCTCAGGCTCCATCCACGCATGCTCTGTCTGAACAGAGCAGGACACAAATTCTCCACCTTCTCGTGGCATGCTGACTGCAGGGGCTGCAGCGACACCGCCGGCCATAAGTGCAAAGCAAATTCCACTTTTACTTCATGCTGCCCCAGCTGAGAATACAAACTGTCTTATCATCTATTAAAACTTTTTCTGTTTTTGAGACAGGATCTCATGTAGCCAAGGTTGACCTTGAATCTCTGAGCCTCCCGTCTCCATCTTCTAAGTGCTGAACTTCCGAGTGTATTGTACCGCACTCAGCTTATATGGTGCTGGGGACCAAACCCTAAAGCCACATCCCGAGCCTCAAGTCTACTTTTTCTTTGTTTCTCTGCTGTGTTTGAGAGTGCCAGGGCTTGGCTATGTCTCCCACATCCGTGTGTCAGACGCTTAATCCCTAAGGTATACGTCACTTACACAGAGAGAGGAGATGGCCTCATGGTGGATTAATCACTCTTGAACTTCTGAATTTGAGGGCTGAGAAGGTGGTGAGTGATGGCCAGCACTCCCTGATATGCTGCTGTGCCACCCTGGGAAGTCACCAGCATCGTGCTCGAGACTGTGAGCCAAAGAAACATGTATCCTCTCTAAGACACACCGTCGGTGGTATTCGGACTTAGCAACAGAAAACAGACCGAGACAGGCGGCGTTTAAGAGATTCCTCACTGTTTCCACAAGCTGTGCTAAGGCTCCAGGCATGCAGTTCTAGTCTCCCTGCCAGTGTGTGCTTTCTGCTACGGCACAGCCTCTCGTGCCGTGCTTCTCTTCTCCTTGCTGATCCTTCAGTAAGGTTTCTATTTATTTTTCATTACAGCTGTCTTTTACTTATGTGTGTGCTCCCGTGCCGAATGGCAGACGTAGAGGTCAAAGGATAACTTGTAGTGTAGGAGTCAGTTCTCTTCACCCTGGAGGGCCCAGGGATCGAACTCGGGTCTTTAGACTTGGTGGTAAGCACCTTTCCTCACTGGGGTTTTGAATTCCTCCCCACACATTGGATTATGTTAGTATCTCTTCATCCAAAGCTGCTCCTGGCAGCAAGTGGGATGCTACGGTCCAACCTGAGCTCCCAGAAGTCCAGGCAGTGCTGGGCGTCTCGGTAGTTGGAGGTTTGTGTATATCCCAAGGAAATCTGTTCCCGAGGACTTCCATTAAGCGGGGGTAGTGGGTGAGGGTCACTTTCTTAAATATCTCCATTTGTTTACAGAATCTGGTCTGTTTTAACCTTTCTCTGTTGGAGCTAGTTTTTTTTTCAAATAAAAGTACTTTTCATTATTTATTACATAAAATTACATACACACACACACATATACCTTCCTTGAGCTCTTACACACTATTTCAGTAGTTCTGTCTTTTCTTTTGTGAACTTCTGTTTTCCTGTCTTAAGTTAATACTTTCTCCCCTTCTTCTTGACTTTTTTTTTTTTCCTTTCAAAAGGCAACATTTCAAAATCCAGTGGTCCGTTAGCATCTCTGCAGGGTCAGTAGTGGAACTCTGCCATGTACTCCGACCCTCATGAAAATGATGTGCTCTACATAGAACCTGCATACATCTTTCCACAGACTTCTTTAGACAGGTTCTCTCTATGTAGGCCAGGCTGCCCTCCAACTTGTGACTCCCCTGTTTCAGCCTCCCGGGTGCTGGAATTATAGGAATGTGCCACTATGCCTGGTTCCTCCCATACACTTTAGACCAAATCTCTAGCTGACCTATGACCCCTAACACAGTAGAACTGTGTCAATCGCTGTTACAATGCATTATTTGGAGAGTCTGGTCATGTTCAGCAGAGATGAAATTCGGGGGGATATTTTCTGTCCGAGGCTGGCAGAACCTGGGGGCACAGATCCAGAAGACATCAGACTTGGTGCTTTGGGGCTTTCTGCAAATTCATTTCTACATATACCCTGTAGCTTCTTCTCCGTGCCTGCCTATTCTCAGCTTCTGTTTTCTGCTTTCCCACTTAGGATATTTCCATGTTTCAAAACTCATTCCTGACAACATTTACACGGAATCTGTGGCCTCTCCCTTCCCAGGCCCACCCAGTCAGTGCCTAAAAAAGCTATTTTCTATCTCTCTCTCTCTCTCTCCTCCCTTAAACTTTATTATATTTTATGTGTGTGGTGTTTTACCCCCATGTATGTCTGTGTACCTCATGTGTGCTTTGTGCCTGTGAGTGCCAGAAGTGGGCACTGATCCTTCAAACTGGAGTAACAAAAAGTCGTGAGCTGCCGTGTCAGGTCTGGGAATTGAACCTGGGTCTTCTACAAGAGTAGCCCGTGTTCCTAACCACCAATCCTCCTGCGCCTCTTTTTTCACATGGTGGGCACCTGCCTGAGTGTCTGGGTGGCCTACTTTTTTCTGTGGGCTCCCACCCATTGTACAGGGAAGGGGCCTGTCATAAGCCTAGAGTAGACGGTGAGGCTAGGCACTACAAGGTGCTTGTTTCACAAATGTTTAATAACGTTTGACTGTTGCATGAGCAGAGAGCCCAAGCTCTTGGCTCACCCTATCTGTCCCTTAACTCTCCCTCCTGGTCCATATCTGACCCTCTCCACTTCTCTTGCTCAGCCTTTTACAGACTTAAGAGTCTGGAACAAATGTCCTGACTTCATGGCACCAGGTGCATGGGGGCAGGGTTGGAGAGCTACAGAATATAGAAACAGGGCATGAGGCAGCCCGGCGGGGTGGGTGACTCAGTCCTCACAACGCCAACAGGCTAGCCAGCATGGTCTCAAAAAAGCTAAGGGTGGCTCTCAGGGATGAAGAGAGGGAGGGGCTCGGCTGAGGAGGAATGGGTGTATTTTCCAAATTATAATGGATCCAATTCAAAAAATAGGTGATGTTGGCAAACACCCCTGGGTACAGGGGCTGGGCACATCCACGGCCCCAGCTCACTATTCCAATCTGCAACCAGGTCTCGTTCAGCTTACAGACCAGTGGGCTGCCGGAGTCACCCTGTAAAGGAAGAGGGGCTTCCCGTAATCCATCAGTCCAGGTAGGTTCCACACCCCGTCCCCTACATGGCACCCTCTCTGGCTATAATAGAACCCAGAGCCTCTGTCCTGAGGTCTGACACAAGTGTGTGGTGATCACACCTGGGTTCAGCCCCCCCAGCAGTCCCCCCCCTCCCCCAAAAAAAAAAAAAAAAAAAAAAGGAACATACCTCACACACATTCTTCACAGTCTTCGAATTCGTGACATCCCCAGCACAAAACATTTCTGGCAGAAGGAAGGATGTTAATCCATAGAGCAGCTGGCACTGGAACCAAGGGATTAGTGGCAACTTAACTTCCTGTAGCGTTTTCAAGGTGGTGCCTGTGAGAGAAGGGAGAGGAACTGCCAGGTGAGGGTGTCTGTCTGTGCCCAGCCCAAGTCTAAGTCCTGGAGGATAGGAAAAACAGAGACATTCTTGAGTTCTTGGTCAACGGGGGATAAATCTGGAAGGAATCCCCACTCCAAGTGGAGACCTGTCCACCTCCAAAAGCCACCTAACACGCAAGAGAGGCCTGTCCCACACAGGGAAGCCCCACCCACACAGGGGAGCCCCACCCACAGGGAAGCCCCACCCACACAGGGAAGCCCCACCCACAGGGGAGCCCCACCCACACAGGGAAACCCAATGCTGATTGCTGTTTTTTATTGTTGTTGTTGTTAGTGGTGGTGGTTTGTTTTTTAATTTCTAGTGGATTATTTCTTTGGAGTCAGCATCTTTTGGCTTAAGCTGTTCTCCCAGCCATCTTCGCAGCTGTCAGGGAGACCCCTTCTATGCTCTACATCCATGAGATCTTGCTCACTTCATACCTTCCTTTGTGACCAGTCCCCATCCAGTAGTCCAGCAAGACACATTGTTGAGGTTCAAGTTGTAAGGTGGCAAGCAAATTGGGAGGACGAAGTCAGAAAATATGATTGGGCTCTTCAACTGCACTAGCGCCACGTCCCCTCCAATAGGGTGGTACATTTTGTAGGTGGGGTGAATGAGCACCAGGTTAACCTCAAACCACTGGGTGTATCTGCTGGCCACCTCGAGGTTGGTGATGCCCACGTACATGTCAAAGGTTTGGATATTCTTCTCCCTGCCGACCAGAATAGAGGCCAACTGCCTGAAGACCCCCATATCATCAGCCCACCAGGTTAAAAAGCCTGAGATTGCCTGTAGCCCAGTGCACACTTATCTGGCTGTCTGACCTCAAAGAGGTCCTGACTTGGATTGATGGAGACTTGGGGACCATCGAGAGTCTATGACTGGGCTATGAGAGCCAGATAGCCATGCACACAGGCACCTCTCTTTCCAGACAGCTGGTGAGCCTCTGTACCCCACAGCTGTGGGCCTGACGTGGGCTCCAAGAAAGCTCTCTCCTCACTGTGGAGGAAAACTGTCTCCAGCGTAGGGGACCTTACTGAAGGAGGGTAAGCCCAGGTGGGGAAGGGCCCTGTAAACGGAGACCAGCTTCTCAGGTGGGAATGGAGTCTGGTCTGCAGAGAAGGGCTATGAGCAAGAGGACAGGCCACGCACCTAGGTACTGGCCTAGTCAGCCAGGGTGGATAATTCCATGCTGGTCCATGGGAGGCAGCTTCTGAGTCTGGAGTCAGGGGAATAAGTGAAGTGTATCAGCCGTGGTGGTTAGGGCTGGGGGAAAGAACTTAGGCGGTGGTTGCAACAATCCAAGCCACGGGCACATGGTCGAGGTCTCTCCTTTCCTGTGTTCCTTCCCCATTACCCCTAACAGCTCCTGCACCTCTCACCTGGCAAAGCAGTGTGCTGCTGACAGCACCCAGTAGGCGTTGAGGATGGAGCCACCGCAGACGTGTAAGCCAGCATAATGCACGCTGACCTGCCATGGCCATTTCTGATAGGGAGCCGGCCTTCCACCCAAGATCTTGCCGTGCAGAACTGGCTGGCCACAAGCTGAGGAGAGGAACAAATGCAGAGTGGGCCGAAAGCCACCAACACGGGAGGGGCGGGCCACAGATGGGGGAGGGGACAGTGTGTGGATGAGTGGGGAGGGGCCAGGCCGGGGCCTAAGGCTGAGGTTCTACCCAGGGAGAAAGGACCAACCACCCAGACCCTGGGACGGGGGGAGGGGGGCCCTACCCACGTCATGGCTCAGTGAGTTTGCCTGGCTTTTAGGGTGCCGGTGACTGACGGGTGCGACCCAGGTCGTGGTAACCAGTAGGAACAGGAGCAGCAGGTATCCCAGGGGGCCCAGGCCGGAAGTGGGGGCAGCCATGACCAGGAAATGTGACAGCGCCTCCTCTGGTGAGGACTCGAGCCGGACACGTGCCTGGGTCCTGGATGCGTTGGTGGCGCCCGCAGCAGGCAACTTTGAACTAGTGAGAGGTGGATGCGGACGGGTGTTACCTGAGCCTTGTGGGGCCTGAGCCCTGTGGGGCTGACATTGTCCTCAGTGGGTAGCCGGGCCCAGCAAATGAAGAGACCCATCAACTGGCGGCATTTAGGATGGACCCCTAAAGCACCCCCCAACACACACACGCACACCATGGTCACACCTGGATATACAGGTTCTGTTTGAGAATTCTGTTACAAACCCCAGAGCTCTTAGCTGCTCTGTGGCAGACTCAGATCTGTCAAATTATTACCATTTATACATACACCATCTGCTATCAAATCCTGCTTTAAAAATTAAGTTTTTGGGGGCTGGAGAGATGGCACTGCTCTTCCAAAGGTCACGAGTTCAATTCTCAGCGACCACAAGGTGGCTCACAACCATCTATAATGTGAACTGATTTCATCTTCTGGCAGGTGTAAATGCAGATAGAACACTCATATACATAAAATAAATAAATCTTATAAAAATTAAGTCTTTGCTTATATAAAGTAAAATCTACCCCTTCTTGCAATATTTGACAAGTGTGTACAATCCTTTTACTTTCAAGGGAGGAATCCAGCTGGTAGAGCATGGTGGCACAGGCCTTTAATCCCAGCACTGGAGAGGCAGGTGGGCTCAAAGCCAGGGCTACATGATGAGACCCTGTCTTAAAATAAAATAAAAGAAACGGACCAACAAACAAAAAACTGTGGTTGGGGCTGATGAGATAGCTCAGTGGCTAAAAGGGTGTATTGCTCTTGCAGAGGACCCAGGTTTGATTCCTAGCACCTACATTGGACAGTTCATAACTCCAAGCTCCAGAGATCTGTCACCCATGGCCTTAGAGAGCATCTGCACTTATTTGCACTTAGATTCACCTACACAGATACACACAATTAAAAAAAAATTTTTTTAGCTGGTGTGGTGGTAAATGCCTGTAATCTCAGCACTTAGGGAGGCAGAGGCAGGTGGATCTCTGTGAGTTCAGCCTGGTCTACAAATTGAGTCCAGGACAGCCAAGGCTACACACACACACACACACACACACACACACACACACACACACCATCTCAAAAAGAACAACAACAAAAATTACATACAAGACTATGTAATAATGGATGAGAAAATCATGAGAAATATCAGTCAGAGGGATGGCGCTACCTTGTGCACTTGGATATGAAGGCTGGTGTCATAAATACAGCTTCTAATCACACTAGATTCCTAGCAATTCCAATCAGAAGCCAAACATGAAGAAGGCTTCCGTAATTAAGATATCAGTAAGGTGTAGCCTAGAATAAAAATTAACAGAGGGTGTGGGGTGGGGCCGGGAAGACAAAATGGAGTTGTCTTCATCAACCCAAGCTGTTAAAACAAAACTTTGGCGCTAGAGATGGTCTCTTAATTAGCCATCCCCCTTCCAGAGGACCTGGGTTCAGTTCCCAGCACCCATGTTGTGGCTCACAACTATCTGCAAATCCAGTCCCAGGGGATACAATGTCCTCTTCTCAAGCACTGCACAAACATGGCACGCACACACATACATGCAGGAAAAACATCCACACGCAAATTTACAGAAAAAAAAAATCAGGTTCTGTTTGAGAACTCTGTTACAAACCCCAGTGCCCTTAGCATAGCCCTCCAAAGGCTAGATGGCTTGTGAAAAGAGACAGTATTCTTTGCAGTTCTGGGGTCCAGGGTCTGAGGTTAGAGAGCCATCCCTGCACCTGTCAGGCCCTTCTGGGTTTGGAGACTGGCATCTGCTGGCCATGTCCTCGCAGAACACAAGGACAGGAGAACCCATGAAGTCCTTCTGCAAGGACACCACTCTCATTCGTGAGCACCACAACATCCCCAAGGCCATCCTTCTCGACCCTATCACTCTCCTCAGAGTTGAGGTTTCAACCCCTGAGAGGGAAGGAGGCAAATGTCAGTGTACTAACAGAAATGGATCCCAGGCATAGATCTTTATACAAAGCCTTGACACAGGACTGCAGAGGCATGGACTGTCAGTGGAAACTCTACCGGACACAGGATCTTCGGAAAGGAAAAACACGACCCCACCACACCCTTTACACAGAACTGAAGTGGCCAAGAAAGGCCTGTAAAACTTTAGGTTAAAATGCAGTCAAACTTCCCGTGATGATGAGCAAGGCAATGAGGACCAGCCCTCCCCACAAACACAAGGGAAAACTCACCACAGAACACAAATGCCATCTCCATAGAAGCAGAAAATATCTAAAGCATGGTGATGACTCCCCAGAGTAAGCTAAGCTAGCAAGGAGATCCTGGCACCCAGGCTACCCCGCCCTTTCAAGATGGGCCAGGAAGGGACTCTGTCATTTTTGGCATCTTTCTTGGTTAAGGAAACAAATAGGAGTCCAGGACCCATCAAGGGTGTGGACCATACTCAACCACACCTGCTTTTGACTGAAAACAAAGAGGAGTGCACCCAAAGGGTGAGGGGACAGGCAGAGGCAAGTCAGCACTCTGCTGGACAACAGCCCAACTTAGAATCATCTGAGTGGCTCAGGCTCTGCACTCAGGAATGCTCGAGTTCTCACACCCTCAGCTCAGTGTAACTGCTGGGGTTTCCAGCAAATGCAAACACAAGCTTTGCAGGACAGTGACGATGTTACCCTAGCTGTTGCTTATTTCTGCAAATAACATTTAGATACTTCTGCAGTCCTGGAAACAGGAGAGGGGATATGATGAGTGGAAAAACAGCCCAAAACAAATGGGAAGAAATCCAGATACTTGAATTATCAGCCAGAGACATAAAGCATATGGCTTGCTGTGCTAAAGTCAGGGAGGAGAATCTAGGCCTCTAAGTGTCTATTTTCTCAACAACTGGTCAGTATACATTTAAGATGATGATGACGATGATGATTAGTTTTTCCAGACATGGTTTCTCTGTGTAGATTTGGCTGTCCTGGAACTCACTCTGTAGACCAGGCTGGCCTCATACTCATGAACTCTGCCTGCCTCTGCCTCCCAAGTGCTAGAATTAAAGGCATGGGCCATCACCACCTGGCCATTTAAGATTTTTTTTTTAAAAACCAACGTGGAAGTTCTAGAAATTAAAAACTCAAATTCAGAGCTCACTGAATGGCCTTACCAAGAGTTTAGACCCAGGCGAAGAGGGAATCCATGAAGCAGAGTGCACGTCTAAAGACGTATGCACAGTGGGACACACAAAGGGGAGCCTTGGAAAGAAGTGTGGGTGCTTCAAAGCTTTTCAGTGCCTTTCCTCCTTCCCCCTCCCCCACCTCTGTTCCCTCTCATCCCTTCTCCCCCTTCTCCTCCCCATCCTTTCCTCCTTCTCCTCCTGGCCCCTTCTCTTCCTCTATGTTTCAGTAAAGTACAATTTTTCTTTTTTTCTTTCTCCAGTTTCTGTTTGTTTGAGACAGGGTCTCACACTGTAGTCCTGGCTGGCCTGTAACTCGCTGTGCCGCTGAGGCTGGCTTCCGTGACCCTCAGCCTCAGCCTCTGCCTCCCACCCACTGAGATTATAACCTTACATTACCACGCTACTGCTTAATTTTTCTATTCTCATTTTACATTTTTTACCCTTAGTCCTCCCACTCTTCACTGTTTGATTGGTTTACTAATTCTAGTCAAAGTTATAAAGAGAAACGGTAGAGTGGTGATTACTGGAAAACTGTTGGCTGTTTGGTGAGAATCTTTTCATTTTACGTGGAAAAGGAGTCAGGAAGCCTTGGAGTTTGTGTAAACTTATGAATGTACTAATACCTCCATCAGATTGGCCTATGGGCAAGTCTTTGGGGTCCATTTTCTTGATTAATGGTTGTTGTGGGATGGCCCAGTCTCCTGTGCAAGTGATCCTGGGAGGTTTAAGAATGTGAGTTAGAGAACAAGCCAGTAAACAGTGATCCTCCATGCCCTCTGCTTCCATTCCTACATCCAGATTTCTGCCTCAAGTGTCTGCCCTGATTTAACTTCATGATGGATGATAAGCTGAAAAGGTGAAACAAACCCTTTCCTCTCTTTTGATCATGGTGTTTATCACAGTACTAGAGAAAGCAAACTAAGACATTGTGGTGCTGTGAATAAGAATGCCCCCTAGAGGCTCATATATTTGAATGCTTAGTCACCAGAGAGCGGCACCATTTGAAAGGATTAAGAGGATTAGGGGGTGTAGCCTTGTTGGAAGAAGTGTGTCCCTGAGGGTGGGTTTTGAGGTTTCAAAAGCCCATGCCAAGCCCAGAGCCTCTTTACTTAGGGATCAGATTGTAGTTCTCACTGCTGCTCCAGCATCTCCCTGAGAGCCGCCATATTCCCTTCCGTGATGGTAATGGACCAACCCTCCAAAAGCGTGAGCAAGGTCCCCAGTTAAATGCTTTCTCTTATAATAACTGCCTTCATCATGATGTATCCTCACAACAGAACAATGAGAAGGACAGAGACCATCATCCTCTCTTCCCCTCAACTCCTTTCCTCTTCTTTAATAGCCCCATTCTACTTTCATGTCTTTTCCCTTTCAAGAGTCTGTAAATGAGAGCAAACATGCACTATTTGTCTTTCTGAGTCTGGTTTATTTTGCTTAGCACGAACTCATTCCACATCCCTGCAAATGGGATCATTTCATTCTTCTCTGTGGCTGAATAGAACTACATTGCGATTGTATATCACCTCTTCTCTATCCATTATCCCACAGGCTGGCTCTGTAACCTCATTGTTGTAAATAGTGACACAATAAACTTGGTGTGCTGACCTTGAATCCTTTCAATATATGCCCGGAAGTAGTATAGCAAGATGATATGGCAGCTGTAGCTTTAGTATTTTAGAAATTCTATATTGATTTCAACATGGCCACACTAAAGTACATCTCCACCCACAGTGGGTAAGGATCCTTCCCCCACTGCACATCAGCACCATTAATCTTTTATTCTCCTGGTGAGAGCCATCATAACTGGGTGAGGCAGAATCTCAATCTAGTTTTGATTGGCATTTTCCTACTGGCCAGGAAGATGAGTGGGTTTTCATTTGTTAATTGCCCATTCTTACTTTTTTCTTTTGGAAAGTGTCTTTTTTGTTAATTTGCCCGTTTACTGAATGTAGTCTTCACTCCTTCAGTGTTTATGCTGAGTTCTTTGTGTATTCTGGATATTGCTCTTTTTTGATGAGCAGCTGGCGAAAACCGATCTCCTTTTCTATCGGATGGTTCTTGGTGCTGTTGTTTTTGTTATATGGAGGCATTTATTTGATACAATCCATTTGTTAATTTTTTTAATTAATTTATTTTAACTTGTGTATTTGTGTGTGTGAGAGCGTGTACGTGTGCGTGTGCGTGTGTGTGTGTGTGTGTGTGTGTGTGTGTGTGTGCCCATGAAGCCAAATGTGTCAGTCAGGTACCTTGGAACAGCAGTTATAGGTGTTTATAAGCCACCCAACATGGGTGCTGGATTCAAACTCAGGTCTTTCACTTCTGCAGCCCCTATTTGTCAGGCTTTTGGTTTGTTTTTAAGACAGGGGTCCATATGTAGCTCTGGCTGCACTGAACTTGCTATATAGACCAGGCTGGTCTCAAACTCACAGAGATCCTCCGACCTCTGCCTCCTGGGTGCTGAGATGAAGGTGTGTGCCACTATGCTAAACTGGTTAGCTTGTTAAAGGCCTGGTAGAGTTCACGAGTGAGTCTGTATGGCCTTGGGCTTTGGGCATAGACGGCTACCACTGCTCTAAGATTTTAGGTTCAGTATTTGTAGGTCATATATGTTGAAAAACATCTCTATTTCCTGTAATTTTCTGATTTACTAGAATATAAATTTTCAAAATGTGCCCCAATGATCTCTATTTTATATTTTATCTGCTGTAACATACTCCCCTTCCCTTTAATTTTATTATCTGAGGCCTTCTTTCTGTCTTTTAATTTAGCGAAGGGCTTGTCAATCTTGCTCACCTTTTGTTTGTTTCATTGATTTGTATTTTTCTCTCCGTTCTCAGCTCTGACTGCTGTCATTCCTGTTACCCTGCGGATTTGGGGTTCCAGCTGTGCGTGTTGGGCTAAGAGCTTGCGCTCCCTCAGCTGCTCACTCACAGGCTGAGTGTGTACAGGCACTCACAGCTCTGCACTGCCCTCGCAGAGCCAATGCCCTTTACTGGCAGCTCTGGCCAGTTGTGCTCTCGTTTGCATTTGATTCTAGGAATTTCGTATTTCCTCCCAGACTTCTTCAGTGACCCACTGGAAAGTGTACTGTCAGTGTTCATGATTTTGCAGACTTTCCCTTGTTGGTTTCCAGGATTTTTTTTTTTTCCATATTGATCTGAAAAGATTGTAAAATTATTTCCTTTTTCCCCTCTATTTATTAAGACTTGCTTTGTGGCCTAAAATCCGATCTGATTTGAAGAAAAGTTCCGTGGAGGGCTGAGGAGAACTCACATACCACAGATATCGGGTGAAATAATTCTGCTGCTGTCTCTTGATCTGTGGTGCGGTCGACTCCAAAGTTCCTCGTTGGATTTCTATCTGGGTTATGCAGCTGTAGTGACAAGAAGGTGGGGCTCTCGTGCTGGTATGCTGTCTGGTTGACCTGTTCCTTTAGGTCATCATAAACCTAATACCAACGTTAGCAGTATGGATATTTACAGTCTATCTCTATCAGTCTCACTGTCTCTGTCTCACTATCTCTGTCTCTGTCTCTCCCCTCCCCAGGCAATGCTGGGGGAAACTCAGGACATCATGCACCCAGGAAGGCACTCCACCAACTGAGTTGGACCCCCCCAGGCCTTGTATCCTTTCTCGAGAGAAGTTTTCACACACCTACCTGGCCAGGGGACCAGAGAGGGGTCAGGGAGGAGTATCCACTTAGGACCATGGACTGGTCTCTCTGGACTACGGCAGCAGTATCCTGGACCCGCTGCTTAGGTGGAGGCAGATAGAGGCGGAGGCCAGGTACTGCTATCACTGTGCCCACAGTCACCTAGACACGCCTTGTCAGAAGCTGAGGCAGGGGAGAGATTGCTATCTGAAGGTAGCTCCTCCGCTGGAACTGTTGGACATTTCAGTGCCGGACAGAGTAGGGGTCTAAGCCAAATGCACTTGGCCAAGCCTTGCAGCTCAGGGGTATGGGGAGATAACCCACAGAAGGTAAAACTGAAATAGGAAAATTGCATGCGGGGAAATATTATGGTCTGTTTGGTTAAGGTTTCTCTTGCTGTGATGAAACACCATGAGCAAAAGTAAATTGAGGAGGGAAGGGCTTATTTTGTGTACGCTTCCATATAGTTGTTCATCATCCAAGACGGTAGGGACAGGAACTGAAACAGGGCGGGAACCTGGAGGCAGGAGCTGACGCAGGCACCAGGGAGGAGTGCTGCTTCCTGGCTTCAATGCATCTCTCTTAGCATCTTATCTTCCAATCTCAGTCCCTTCAGTCAAGACTCTGGGAGAGGAGATGGGACCTGCCCTGGACCTCCCTTCAGGAGGAGGCTATTGGATGTCTGGGTTCCTCCTGGATGAGAACTTTGGGAGTAGGTAGCAGGGATGTCTTTTTTTGCATCCCATCCCCCCAGATGAGGTTTCTCTGTGTAGCCTTAGTGGTCCTGGACTGGCTTTGTCGAACAGGCTGGCCTCGGACTCACAGAGATCTGCCTGCCTCTGCCTGCCCTCCCCGAGAGCTGGGATTATAGACGTGCAGCACCCCGCCTGGCTTAAAGGGAAGAGACTGACTTTTTTTTTTTTTTTAACATTTATTTATTATGTATACAATGTTCTGTCTCCACATCCACCTTCAGGCCAGAAGAGGACACCAGATCTCATGATAGATGGTTGTGAGCCATCATGTGGTTGCTGCGAATTGAACTCAGGACCTCTGGAAGAGCAGTCAGCGCTCTTAACCTCTGAGCTATCTCTCCAGCCCCTTTCTTTGCATCTTACAGAATTTTCATCAACTTAATTTGAGGTTTGCTCTCCTGAGATACATGCATCTAGAATTCTGGTTCCGTCCCATCCACCTATGTTCCTCACACAGAATGTGCCTGGATAGCGTGTTTTCTTTAGCTCTTTCTCTCCTGTAGGCCCTGCCTTCTGACTCCATACTCCGGCATGGCTCCTCATCCCCCTAAGCCTTCCAAGTGTGCCAAGACCCCTCAGGGCATGAGGACAGAAATCAGGATGAGAATAGGGGACTCATATTCAGGAAGGCAGAGGACTCTGTGTCAGTGGATAAGGTAGGTGAGGTGAGCTCCATTTAGGGGAGGGTCCGTCCCCCAGAATTTAGGCAGCTTTCTCTTGGCATACTTTTAAAAACCTCTTTTATTTACATTTCTTTTATAGCTCTTTCATCCTACTCCACCCCAATCCCTTCCAACAACACCAGGTAGGAGAGAGAAAATGTTAGTGGGAGAGGGCACACAGTTCTCTTAGCTGCTTCTGCTGGTTAGGGTCATCGGGTTCCTTGGAGCCAGTCCAATCTGCAACTTCTTGTCTCACTGCATCAACAGCAAGAGTAGCCTCGGGGGTGGGGTGGGAGGAGCAGGAGGAGCATCGTTCTCTCTCGGAGTTACTCCACATTCTCTGGGCTCTGGCTTTTATTCTCTCCCCAGAGTCCTCAGATTTAAATGGTCTGCAGCTGGCAAACAGCTCCTCTCAAAGCCGGCACGAGGCAAATAGTTTGCTGCTGTGGATCATCTGAATCACATCCCACACCTGGGATTAAACCAAAAACATGTTTACATCCACAACAGCTCTCAGCCTCCAGCCTGCCAGGCACCAAGCAGTGGAGACTGTGCCCTTGCTGTGCCCTTGCATGTGTGTGCTACCCACCAGGTGGCACGAACACTAGGCACCATGTAATATGCATGGTACCGGCTAGGCTATGCAACGTGTATAGCGGCCGACCTCAAGGACAGTGGACTGCGAAGATTCCTGTCCCCTTCTCCATGAAAACACATCCTACGTCGCCCTTGCAGCCTGGCAGGAGCTTCAGACAGTCCTGGCTTGGAAATAGCCCAAAGACCAGGATGAAATGCCCAGGAGTTGGGCACCAGAGCCTAGCCCACGGTGTGGGGTAAGGCTCATGCCTAGTTCTGTTTGCAGTGCTGGGAGGCGGGCATGCTGCAGGACAAAAGATGGATAGTTGTCGTGGGATGCGCGCAGGTATCACAAAGACAGCACCCCTTAACGCCACGGGCGTGCCCGCAGTGTCTACAGCCCCACAGTGGCTGGTCTCCTTATGACCTTACGGCCCCCTCCCCCCGACAAGCTGCTGTCCAGAAGATGCAGCAGTCCACCACAAACTTTCCCTGCCCCTCTTCCCAGCTGTGGAGCCTGCTGGGATTTGACCTCTTCCCTGTGTCACCATGGCCCCGGCGGACCTGGTACCCACCGTGTGACCCCTTGATAAACTCCCTGCATTGCATAGGTTGGGTGGACGGTGCTGCAGCAGCTGAGGCTCTTGAGCGACCGGCCACCCCGGCCTACAGAAGGTCGGACTGTAGAACCACGGAGCTCCCTGAAGGGCACGGCCATCCTCTGCCCGCTGAGATGCTCCGAGAGTTCCGTCGCAGCCTCTCCAGCCGAAGTCCCCACCGAGCTGCGTATTCACAGTGAGCCACAAGCCCCACTGGCCCTTGTACAAGTTGGGGCTACAACTCAGCCCAGGAGAATGTGCCCAGCCTTGCAAAGAGCCTGCAGACAGTCTGGCATCCAAAGTCCACTGCACTTCTCCTGAGGGTCAGAGTCCTGGCTGTCCGGGGTCAGGGCCCTGGCTGTCTGCCCACCCACCCCTCACATGGCTTCAATCAAAGCTGGGCTGGGTCAAGGCTGGGCCAGAGGGCCACACCTCCTCCCTTTCAGGCCAGCTTGTCCAGACAGACAACACGGCCAACTGCAGGCTAGCCACCCTGCTTCTGCCTGCCAGCTGTCTGCCTTTGAACTTGGGGGAAAGAGGAGGCAGATGCTTGCGGTTGGAAAAGTGTGTGCAGGTGGCACGCCATCCTCCAAGTCAGCTTGAGATAGGCAGAGGGGCTGAGCTGCCTAGGCTGACCTCAGCGGTTTCTTCCGTGTGCCTGCCCATTGTCAGAGGTGTGGCCAACCTCCCTTCTTGTGGGAGGCAGGAAAGACATGGCTCGGTGACCTCCTCAGGGTCACATTATGGTAGGTATTGCAGCAGGGGACTGCACTGGAGGGAAGGGGGCCTCCCTGGTCTCTGATCCTCAGCCCAAAGCGGGGCCAGAGAGAGGTCAGTGCTCGCTCTACACGCTCTTTCAGTTGCTCAGGAAAGGTACCGCCAACTGTTGTCCCTCTGGAACGTTATGGTAACACTGTCCCAACCCAGAGGAGACTCCCCCCAATAACGTGAGCGTCAGAAGGAAGGGTCTGGTGGCCTCACTGAACTCTGCTGCCACGTAAGAGCATGAGGGCACAGGAACGTCCTACTTACACAGGGTCAGCCAGGGGCCTCCCGAGGCGCCACCCACCAGGCAGAGTCAGTTCTCAGCCCGGCATGCCCGGAATGCTCTCCATCATCCGGCCCCACCCAAAGCCCCATGCCCTAAGTTCAGCCTCTCAGTGGGGAACGTGGTCAGGGCCGGGCTTGCTCTCGCTCTGTGCTCTGTGGAGACTGCCTCGGCTCTCCCAGAGCAGGCTGTGGGTGACGAGACAACAGGTAATGTGACAGGGAAATGGCCCTTGGCCCTGGGGACGTGCTTGGGTACTCTGAACACAGGTAGAAATCTATATGAACGGGCTGAAGCTGCCTATGAGAGAGGCAGCAACAAGCCTGCAGACAGGGATTCCTGAGGAGCAAGCCAGAAATACTTTGAATTTCCCCACCACCGCCACCTCTGAGGCAGGCTAAGTATTCCTAATCTGAAAATCAAGACTCCAAAAAGATCTGAAACATGAAACTTCTGAGGGCCGGTGTGATGCGACACTAAGTAGGTTACACCCGTGACCTCATGTGACAGGTCATACTCAAAGAGCAAGCACACTGTGAAGACACCTACAAGACCCCTTCTAGACAACAAGCCCAAGGTGAGAAGGAAAGGTGAAGGAATCCTGGGAAGTATTTCTCACGCCCTCAGATCAACTGTTATATGTACAAATATTCCAACACCTGAAAATGTAAAATCAAATGTACTTCTGGTCCCAAGCATTCGAGTGACAGATATCAAATCCATTTTACTTTTTTCTCCTTGTGTCTGTTAGTATGGGTCTGTGTGCCTCTGTGGCTGAGTATGTGGTGCTGTCCTCGAACTCGGGATTCCTGGCACGCTTAGGGACTATCCCACAGTTACCCAGACTTCTCACAATGACGCGTTTGTATTTGTATTTGTGTTCGTATTTGTCCACGCACCCTCCTTCAGCAGTGGGAGGAAGGCTGCAATGGTCTTTGCTGCAACAGGTGACACAGGATGACCAACAGAACCCTGCCAAGATGCCCAGGGTTAATATGAAAACAAACTGTCAACAATGTGAGTGGGGCATATTGAGAGTGATGGACAGGATTTACACAGACAGGAGGCCACAAACCTACCCATTCTGGGAAGCTTTGAGCATACATAATATTGTTTAAAATGGCACTAACTGCCAGGCACGGTGGGCACACCTTTAAACCAGCATACTGGAGGCAGAGGCAGGCAGACCTCTGGTACAAGGCCAGCCTGGTCTACAGAGAGAGTTCCAAGATAGTTGGGGCTACACAGAGAAACCCTATCTAAACAAACAAACAAACAGCATTGACAAGCATCCAGCCTAGTGTCTCTACAGTATAGGACACCCGGCGTTGCTCCCTCCCTTGCAGTCCTCCCTCTCCCTCCTCCCATTACACCATGCTCTTGTTCTCCTCTTTCCTCTTCACTGTGACCATGCTCCTTCCCCTACCTCCTCCCTACCCTGTGCTTGCCTCCTCCTCCTGGCATTATGTCCACCAGACTGTAGATTTTGGAGACCGGGACTCTTTCCAATCAATTTCATTTTTGTGGAAAATCTGTTCCACGGCTGAGTCTTGTTTGGGCCCTTGGTTCAAGCAGTGAGCAATGGACTTTAGGCACGCCACTGAAGTTCCCGGGTGGTGTCCTTTTATGGCTTCCATGAATGTGACTGTCCTATGGTCTTGGATGTTGGACTACAATCCCTTTTCAAAGCCAAAATTAAACACTGACATGAGCAGCTAGAGCTGCCGGACCTGTGGGCCAGTCTATGATGCTCACACACAGAGACCTACACACACACACACACACACACACACACACACACACACACACAAACCTAGGATTCAGGAGCACATGACACAGACACACACACACAGAGACATGCCTAAACATGTCTCCAGACTAGTGTGTTGACAGTCCCCAGCTGCGATGGCTAATTTTGATTGTCAACTTGATATATATGGGAAGACAGAACCTCAGTTGAGGCATTGCCTCCATCAGATTGGCCCGAGGGCATGGCTGTGGGGGCATTTTCCTGTTAATTGATGGAGAAAGGCTTAGCTTACTGTGTGTGGAACCACCCTGGGCAGGTGGTCCACGAGCCTGGGAGCAAGCAGAAACCATCGTTTCTGCCTCAGACTCCTTCCCTTGATGATGGACTGTAATCTGCCAGCCAAATAAACCCTTTCTTTTCTCCCCAAGTTTCTTTTGGTCACAAAATCTTAACACAGCAACAAATATCTAGAAACCAGCTGAGTGACGTTGGTAAGTTGTTGACTTCATCATCCAATAATCTGCTGGTGACTTCACGGCTGAGGAAGCCATCAAGAGTGAGGCCCTGGCTCAGGAGGACTGGCACAGGCCTCTGAGGCCATGACTTACGTGTCTTCTCCTAGCTCCTTTCTGTGCCTGCCTCTCTCCACCACTAGGCTAGCTGTTTTGTCCTACACATGCTCTGGCCATGATGCTCAGCTACCCCACCTCCCTGCCCACGGGTGAAACACCAGAGCCAGATGAAGGCCGGCATAACTCTCAGAAACCGTGAACCATGACACACTTCTCTTTTAATCTGTCCTTGTTGGCTGTCTTGTCACGGCTACAGGATCCTGACACACACACCGTCTGTCCACAGGACCCACCACAGCCCTTTCTGGAGCTATTGCCAGCAGAGTCACTGGCCGATGCTTGGAGTACTGTATCTACAGTCCTGCTTCCTGGTCCCGGGAGCCAGATCCACCCTCTCCAGGCTCAATAAGCAGAGTGGGGGATGGGCTGGGACCCTGTAGTGGTTCGGACTCTGGATGAGAATCTTTGGTCTCAGTTTCCTGACTGTAAACTGGGAGGTTTCAGAAGGCATCCCCCCGGGAAAGGGGGGACCAGGCAGGTCTGTTCGGGCAGACATGGCCACTACAGCCCCAGCCTGAGGCACAGCTGCTTCTGATTATGGGGGCTCAGCTCCCCTTGGTGAAGTGAGCGTGTCAAGCAGAGATGGAAACTTAATCCCAGCCCCTCATCCCACATTCTAGCCCCAGGAGGAGCAAGAGGAATCCCCCCAGCTGATCCTGGCCTCCTGGAGAGAAGCTCCCAGGAAGTGGACCCCGGGAAGCTCCCACCAGCTGGCTATGAGCAGACCTTCTCCAAGCTCCCTCCCCCCTCCCAGCTCGTCTTGTCTCTGCTTGGCCTGGATTTTCTAGCCACTGGCTTTTGACTCTCCCTTGTTTTGGCTTCCCTGTGTCCCTTGTGGTCTTATACACACATATGCAAACGCAC